GTCCTCTTTTGGAAGGCCAAACAAAGTAGTTTCGCTTTCACATCGAAACACAGCGTCACACACGGCGGCCTAGAGTTAGCGGCGGCGGCCAAGAGTGAGCAGAGGCTGGGGGCTAGAGTGAGCGGAGGCCGGTGGGCTTGAGAACGGCGCGGCCGGCGGATTCGACGAAAGAGCGTCCGGAGGGCTTGCAGCAACCACATGTGACGACCCCGGGCTGGACTCCGCTTCGTCCAAAAGGCAGTTAGTGTAAGGTCTGTATGCAAGTAGGGTAAGGAGTACATAATAATCCACTGTTACATTCACAATGAGACCAAATCATATTTATTTTGTTCTGTTATTCCCAGAATATCTCTCTATTCATCATCGAGATGTCAGTCTCTTTTGATTTTCTGTACATGCTTCCTCTCTCATGACCGCCGACAGCATGACAGATCTTTGTGACACAAAAGACCTCACAGAACAGCAATTTACTCTAGTCCAGACAAACTAAATTCAATTGTATTAGATTTATAAAGAGAGCAAACTCTTTTAGACAGTTTAAAACTGCTGGCATGCTCATATGCATGCGTACCGTCGCTGCAAATATTCAGTTTCCATATTATTTCTAAGAGCAGAATATTTAGCCTAGCTGTTGTAAATAATTTCAATAGCTCAACAGAACTGATAAAATAAGACTTTTAGACTTATGAAGAAATGTAAGTGGTGTTTGCACATGCAAAAACTAGCACCAATATATGGTGCTCTAGGTGGTTGCCAGGGTGTTGCTAACACTGTTAAAGTCACGATGAAACAGAAGTATAAGTTCTTCCATATTGTGATTTCATGCGACTTTAAACATGCAGTTATAGGGTGATCTGATTGGTTACTAGATTGTTACTTACAGGCTCAAGTCAAAGGAGCCTATTTAAGTCTCCTTAGATATTCACATCTTTAGATATGTAGGTTCCTTCACAAATACAAGGTTAGAGGGTTTTTTTTCTGATTGATAAGAAAAATAATAGAACACCTCTCCTTAATAAGCCACAAAGTTTAAAGTATCAATCAATGCTTGGGGTTAGAGATTTGTTCAAAATTCCTAACTCTGATGATGAGCAACAATATCCCAAATCCCAATCTCACACCACTGGAAGAGATTTGCCTCTTGGCTAACACAGGCGGGCCATGGTCTCAAATGCTGAATTCGAAATCTCGTACTAGCATAGTACTCTTAATATTTCTGGCATAGAAAGATATGCTAAAAATAGTAATAGTATAGGCCTAGTATCCTGTTCCGAATTCAGCATAGATGGCAAATGGTTGCAGATTTCGTATTTTTTCGCACACTATATTATAAATACAGATACTGATTTGACATACAACGTTTAGTATTTATACTACCATATAAATGGAGTCAAAGCGAATTGACGTCGATTAAAGCCACACAAATATATATTTAGTGACCAAAGTTAAGTCTACACAAGCTCAGTAATCTAAAACATTATTGATTCTACATGGATGGCTTCACATGTATCCATTAAACAACAGGTGTGCACAGATGGTTGACATAGTTTTGCGGTAAAGAGATCAATAGAGCACATAAGTCACAAAAACACAACCACGGTTCAGTCGGGTGGATGAAATGCAATAATCCAAAGGAAAAAAAAAGTGTGCTTGTTGTCATACATAATCACAGCGTACAGTAAAACAATCAGACAGGTGATCACACAGCATATGCGGCGCCTTAACATCTCAGCAGCGGGAAAACCCGTTAAGCGCATTAACGGGGAAGACAAGTCGTGCCTCCAATCCACAATAACACACATACAAGTCCGTGTTACACTTAGCCTACTTGTTTATCGAAAGTTACACCTATTCTTGAATTATAACTTAACCTCATAACCAGTTACCTGTTGCTTTAACCAGTTTCAGATGCACTTCAAGTGTACCAGTTACAAACCAGAAGCATATATACACAGGTATACAATAAATAGAAGACAGTGCAATAACAAGAAAACTGAAAAATAATTAAAGGTCCCAAACACTTACCTCGCACGCACAGTAGCGACATTGCTGAGATTTTAGTCCAACACAGCACGATTGTGACTTGATCACCCCCTGTGGCATTTGTCACTTTATTTTCTCCACTTTCGAAATGATATTTGAGGCTGCGAGGAACAATCGTAGATGTTTAAATTCATCATAAAAATAAGAGTGAAGTACCGACTGTGTTTGCAACGCGTCAGGAGAACTGTTCGGCGTCCCTATGGCGTTAGTGACATGTGCATGAGCCAATCATCTTCAACTAACGGAGAATGTAGGCGGGTCTAAACGATGATGCGTCGAATAACGTTTTGTACGCGCACAGGTGTGTAAATTGCACTTAAACCCGCATAATTTACAGCATCTGTATCAGTATAATCCTATAAAACAAACAAAGCCCTATGTTTTTAACAAATAGCTGCAGGTTTGAATTGTATTAAACTTAATTGTGTAAAATAAGAAATGGTGCAGCTGGATTTGAGACAAGAACAATGTGCAGCTTCTTACAATTACTGAAAAAGGAAAGAAATAACGCCAAAAACGAACCATGATATTTAATTTCCACTGATTTAATCGCATTTTAAGTGCAACAGACTAACGTCAACTAACATCGATCTGTGGTGCAGTCTGAAGGACTTGATTTATACCTGATGCTTCTGTGGTACAATCGCGCCATCTAGTGGTGAGCGTGTGCTGCTTCATAAAAAAAACTGTCTAAATATTAATTTACATTCACGTTTGTTTCAAAGTAACCGTGAACCTGAACGCTCTACTATTCCTGATTTAAATGAAAGCTTCACATGAGCGACACAATCAGCAGCATATGCAGATGCAAATGCTTGTACAGAATCTATTAAAAGGACACTAAACGTGTAGTTATCATAATATGTGGTTTAAACTTAAACCTATTGTTGTTAAGTGTAATTGTTATTTAATTAATAGAAATTCAGCCTTCAGCGCTGATGGATTTAAGTTAGGGCCTACATGGCTTTCGACAGATAAAAAATGTGAACTGGAAATATGATTTTGCAGGGTTCTTAGGAAAACGTATACTTTTCTGATTTGGCACTGATTATAAATTAATATGTATGCTTGTTTGTTTTTTGTTTCTTTTTAACATTTTTCTTCAGAATCATTCCATAGGACAAACTTTCCCTTTGTAGCCTACTTTGAACACTAGAGTTATTACAGTTTATTTGAGATATGTGAGTAAACGTGTTTATTTTCGATTAATATATTTTAGTTGCTTAAATTAGTCTAGAAAATATTAATTTAGCAGTTAATCTAAATATTATTCGCGCAGCGTTACATAAACCCTATTTTGTCCTGTCTTTATCTATACGTTTCTTCTTCTTCTTCTTCTTGGTGTTTAATGGCGGATGGCATACAACTTTTAGGTGCATTACCGCCACCTACTGATTAGGAGTGTGGATCAGGATCGTACTCTTCACTAAATTCTATTATATAATCCAGTGTCCTTTAAATAACGCATTATCTATACGTTTCCCCACCAAAGCGGAGTAAAAGGAACAACGTGCACGTGTACGAGGGCGTGGCTTGCTAAGACGTTGCCTGCCACGCAACCAATAGGAATATTTTTCGTCGAAATATATTACTATTATTCAAATATATTCAAATAATGCATTAGTACGCAACTGTTATTGGTTCGCAGACGAGAAAGCGACCAATCGCTTAAATGACAACCCTTCAGCTGTTCGAACGTCCCTCCCCCTAGTTATTTTTCAGCAAATCCCGGAAGTATTGTTTTTAAAGGGACAGAATAATTTCATGGGCGAGGGCTTTGGACCAAGAGCCAAGCAGAAAATAGCAAAGGCCCGTTGGCAGAGTTGCCTATAGGACGTGGAAAGGAGAAGAAAGGCAATTAAAACAGCGTTGTCGACATTTGGAAAGCAGGTTCTTGTATCCTCATCGGTCAGATATATCTTCGTTACACTGTGGGATTTCAACGCAGATAGTTTGACATCGATTACACTGAAGATCTGGAGATCCTGTCTGCTGTCTAAAATAGGATCAAACTCTTCCTCCAGATATGAAGGGAATGTTAGTTTCCTGACTGCTGCAGCCCTTGTTATTGTCATCGTTATATGTTTGCTGTGGGTGAGTTCGCTTTGTGCTGCCATCCTCCTTTAGATCACTCTCATTTCACCTATATAGAGTATATATAACTCATTTCACATATATAGAGCAAGTCTCTGGGATCAGAGATTATAATAATGAAGGATGGATTCTTAATTTGAAGTTACAAGGTACCTAAACAATTTCATTAATCAATCATATATATATATAAATACCTTATTAATCTAAATTCTAAACTCTCTCTTTAAATCTAAGATTAAAGGATGAAATGATCTCCCAGTCTTATATAAAGATTGCCCGGGTCTTTTCCACCTACTGTGTTTGAAATGATTTCACGTGTGTTTGATAATGGCAGATTAATCATAGCCTGCACACACAATGCACACAGGAGCTTCTGTATTTTCATGCGCAGGGGGGCGTTTCTGCTTTGTCTGATTCATGCTATTTCATCCACTGAAGGCAACTTTCATCAGTGCACAAGGCACATGCATTTCTCATCCCAGTGCCTCCTTTTCTTTATCTTTTAGTTTTTATTTTATTGTTCCTTTTTGATTTATTGCATGCTTTGTGCTTGAAGTGTGCATGAGTCTGTTTCTCTAATGTTACACCCCTAGCCATGGGATGGGCCATATGAATCATGCCCGGCTTAGTAGCACAGTTTATTTATATTTATAAAGGTTGTCTTTATGCTTCACTATAGGCTGCTGTTGCCTAAACACTGTGAGGATATTGTGTTGTCCTTGTAGCCTAATTATTATCAATAATACCAATATTTCATGGAGAGATTGAGCGTCAGAGTTTTGTCAGTAGGTGGGTGGGTGTGTGCACACAGGTTGCAGAATATGTAAGAGGCATCCATCCTGCTCATTACTGATGCCAGACAGGACATCAATGGAAAGGCACAATGGAGAGCTGCAGAGCGATTTCCATTGTCCAAAAAAACGAACAAAGAATCTGCAGTGACCCAAAGTGGGCTCTTTCTTTCTGTAAAGGGCTCAAATGTCCCAAAAGGGCTGCAGGTAGAATGTGCCCTTCATCATCAGTTTGAAGCATGAATATTAAGAGCTTCAGATCAGCTCCTTAATGCCCTTGCTGTGTGACCTCTTTCTGTGTGACCGTCAGCAGAAGTATGTATTACATCATTGGGTTAGGGAAATGCATGGTAGGAATAGCTGCAGCAAATCTGAAGATAAGCATGTCAAGCTGGTGTAGGAAGCAAATGCGTGTTCAGTGTGAGGTGCCTTAGTATGCAGCGTTAAGGCCTGTAAGGACTCCCTATCTGTAATCGATACGTGTAAATGTTGAATGAGGGGTTTCGATTCAACATCTTCCCTAAAAGCAATATATTCTCTTTCTCTCATCTTGATGAGAATGAGGGTGGTGCCGGTTCATTAACACTGCTCTTCTGGTGTTGCTTGGAATTCAGTCTTTTTTGCAGACTGGCCCTGCTACTGGGTTTGGGCTGTTTGAATTGGATCCTTGTTCCTATTTGAGGTGTGCTAAATAAATCTGAAATAAATAAATAAAAAACTTACAAAAATTCAAATGAAAATTAAAAATGTTATCTTGGCAACTAACTGGCTATATTTATTGCTGAAATACTACAATTACTAACACTGAAATAAAAAATTAAATAAAGTTCTGTATAAATATAAAAAACAAAATAATGAAAATGAGAAAATCTAAAACCAAAATTAGAATAAAAACAGAAAATCTAAAATCTGAAATAAATAAATAAAAAACTTACAAAAATTCAAATGAAAATTAAAAATGTTATCTTGGCAACTAATAATACTAATATGACAATACTACAATTACTAACACTGAAATAAAAAATTAAATAAAGTTCTGTATAAATATAAAAAACAAAATAATGAAAATGAGAAAATCTAAAACCAAAATTAGAATAAAAACAGAAAATCTAAAACTAAAAGCTCATTCAAAATACTATAGTAGTGTATAAATAATATTAAAAGAACAGCATAGAAATATGCTAAAACCTCTTTAGGACACTTTAGCAAATGCTTAACAATCCACCATTTAGAACACCTTAGCAGTACATTTTAAATGGGTGATGATGATTTGGATAACCAGTTTCACTGCTTCTTGATTCTGATGCATCTGTATTTATGTGTCTCTCCACACATTTGATTTTCTCTCACCGCTAGACAAACAAACCTTGACTTTTTTTAAATGGCCATAGAGATGCCATGGATGGTTAACCGTGATAGTCAAACCCACTCTACTGGTCACCTGTCTGGGCATTTTTATCACATTTTAACCATCTCATGATCAGCTTTAGGATTTCTCCAATGGTGGCTTAGATAAGGATTTCAATAATAGAAGCTTGTCCCATATCAGTATCACAGGGATAAATGGGTGCATGTGCAGGCATGTGCTTTTATACAGCTGTGTGTGCACAAGTGTGATAAAAAATTTTTTTTTTAAAGTCAGCATGAGAACAAGGTACTAAACCGCTAAGCTGTTTATCATTTATTTAAAGGGGTCATATGATGCTGCTAAAAAGAACATTATTTTGTGTATTTGGTGTAATGAAATGTGTTTATGCGGTTTAAAGTTAAAAAAACACATTATTTTCCACATACTGTACATTATTGTTTCTCCTCTATGCCCCGCCTTTTTGAAACGCGTCGATTTTTACAAAGCTCATCGGTCTGAAAAAGCAAGGTGTGCTGTGATTGGCCAGCTATCCAATGCGTTATGATTACTAGCCACTTAAACCAGCAGAATTAGCAATAGTTTGATAATTGCCATAGGCTGTGGCTCTGGTGTGTATATATACAGTGGTGTGAAAAAGTGTTGGCCCCCTTCCTGATTTCTTGCAATAATTTAAATAAATTATATTCTCACACCAAATTAAATTTATCCTGGCTAGAATATCTTGTTAACTCTTATTGTTCTATAAAATGCTGAAGTTCTGCTGTATTGACACAGAACAGGCTACATTTAGCAAGCCTAAGATTTATACTCTGTATATTATAGTGCTTTGCTTTTTACAAGGCTGATTGCAGGTTAGTGTGAGTTTGTGTGGACTGTGTGTGTGTGTGTGTGTACTCTTTGTACTAGAATAACAAATTAACGTATCTTTTCATCATCTTTCTGCCTCCAATCCAAGATCCTTTTTTATTTATTTTAGTTATCTTTCATTTCACCTTTGCCCTAATATCCACCTTCCACCATCTATTCCCTTTCTCTCATTACGCCCTTACTCCGTTACAAAGAAGTAAATTTGTCACCCGCCACCCCCACCTTGGAGAGCGTGTTACCAAGGGCATGTTAGTTACCGTCCTCATTCATCAGTGTCAGGTGCTAATCTCTACCGAGGGACTAACCTTAATATCTCGCGTCAGCTATGTTTTTGTTATTGTAGCGACATTTACAGACTCCCACAGCTGAATCCTCATTAAGAACTTAGTGTGCTTCAGTGCCTTTTGTTGGGTAGTATAATTTTATTGATCTATTTATAGAGTACATAATTTGGCATATGGTTTGTTATAGAGGTATGTATCTGACAGACGCACACATCATTCAAGATTGTGCAGGCACAAGATTTCTGTACCATTGCTCTAAATAGCTCTAAAAGCACCTTTTCTTCTGGAAACAGGCTGAATGTGCTCTTCTTTAGAGCACATTCAGCCTGTTTCTCTTGCTCTTTGCAACATCAAAACGAGAGAATGATGAAGTGAGAAAGTCTAAAAGTAAGTAAACTGAAGGTGTGACCAGCAGAAATCACATCCTGTGTATTTCCATCACTAGTAAATTTAATTTAATTTAATTTAATTTTTTATTTAATTTAGAGGAGAGGATTGCACCTTTTGTGTGTTCTCACTTGGCTCATTGAAGTGGAAAACAGGAAGTTGAACAGCTGACTATAATAGCGTCTGTCTGGTTGGACTTCAGTTGGTTTAAATGGCTGAATGCAATGCATGTAGACTTTTTTTGTTTAAAACTTTTATTGATAATTATTATAGATTGTATAGGCCCGGTTTCACAAAAGGGTTTAGCTTAAGCCAGGACTAGGCCTTAGTTAAATTAAGATATTTAAGCAACTTTTACAAAAATGCCTTAGAAGAAAATATTACAGAGCAAGATATTTTCAGTTGAGACCGCTCAAACATGCATTTTAGTCTGGGATTAGCTGAAGCCTTGTCTGTGAAACTGGGGGATAAAGTCTTTTATGCTCATCAAGGCTGCATTTCTTTGAATAAAAATGCAGGAAAAGCAGCAATATTATGAGATATTATTACAGTTTAAAATAACTTTTTTTTTATATACGTTATAAATCTAATATATGTAAATTTATTCCTGTGATGGCAAAACTGAATTTTGAAACCGTTGTACTGCTTAATATTTTTGTGTAAAGCATGATTTTTTTTTTCTTTGATTTTGTTCTCATTCTTTTTTCTTTTTTTCCAGGATTCTCTGATAAATGATAAAGTGCGAAAGAACAGCATTTATAAATGTGTAAATATCTTCACTGTCACTTTTGATTTATTTAAACAGGCAAGCACCAGATTTTCTACAAAAAAGGGTAACACTTTACAATAAGGTTCATTAGTTAACTACTTTAGTTAGCATGAACAATACTTCTACAGCAATTATTAATCTTAGTTAATGTTAATTTCAGCATTTAATAATGCATTATTAAAATCAAAAGTTGTGCTTGTTAACATTAGTTAATGCACTGTGAAATAACATGAACTAACAATGAACAACTGTATTTTCATTAACTAACATTAACAAAGATTAATAAATACTGTAATAAATGTATTGTTCATTGTTTGCTCATATGAGTTAATACATTAACTAACATTAACTAATGGAACCTTATTGTAAAGTGTTACCCACAAAAATTTTAAAAAATCAAGTTGTTTGTGTCAAATTTGACAGTCTGAGTGTGTTGACTGAAAAGGGATACAACACACACTTAAACATGAAGAAAGGGAAGGGTTAGAATGTAGCTGTGAGCTTTAACAGTCCCTCATAGACCAGTTGATCCCAGCTACAGCTCAGAATAGCTGCCAGGAAAGTGTTTTGAACGAGAATCAAACTGAGAGCAGTGTTGCCTGCTTCAGTGTTTTGCCAGCATCATACACCAAATCTATGGTGGAGCGCCACTGAGTGTGTGTGTGTGTATGTGTGTATATATACATGCATGTTTGTGTATCTTTTGTGCACTTTTGCATTTGTGTGTACTGTTTTGCTTCACTATAGCTGAATTCTCAGAGGCCATTTGAGGGCTGGCTTATGTCTGAAGTCACGCCCCCAAGCATTCCTTATATGGGTACGGAACGTGAGCTCTTAAAGGAGAAGTAGCTTTATGTGTCTCCGCAAGGCATGTTTTCAATTTAAGCCCGTCTAAACTCCACAACCAACACAAGATATCAGAACTTCACCATGTGCCCGGTGTAACACCTCCAAATATTTTTCCCCATTCACAGCCATATGCGAAAGGAAACCCTCATACATTTTCAGCATAATCTCTCCGCACTTGCCCCTCTATCTCACTCACTGCATCTAAAGAGATGAAAATAATCTTTTCTACATCTTTTAATGCTTTCGTTTAAGTGCATGTGGAATTACCTCTCCTTATTTGGAAGATGCTGCGTGCGTTTGAAAGAGGTCTGTGGCATGTTGCCTGCAGATACACTTACACAAACGTACACTCAAACACACACCCATCAGAATCTGTTTCTGTGGAAGGGCAGATAACACGCTTTCATGCAGAGACGTATCCGTTCAGCTGTGCACTTCCCCTTTTTGCTCTTTTTTTCCCTTTTCCTTCTTTTTTTAATGTATTTGAGTAAATGGTATTAACATGCTCATATGCATTTGTATGAACGCTGAACTGCTTATATTTGTGCACACTACAAAGTCTCTTATGCTTATCAAGCCTGTATTTTAAAAAAAATACAGTAAAAACGGTAATATTGTGAAATATTATTACAATTTTAAATGATTATTTTCTATTTTATCAAATTTAAAATATAATTTATTTCTGTGATTGCAAAGTTATATTTCCACCAGCCATTACTCCAGTCTTTATTGACAAATCATTCTCCAATGCTGATTTGGTTCTCAAGAAACAGTTCTTATTATTATCGATGTCTGACATGGTTGTGCTGTTTGATATTTTTGTGGAAACCAGGATACTTTTTTATTCAGGATTCTTTGATGAATAGAAAGTTCAAAAGACCAGCATTTATTTGAAATAGAAATCTTTTTTTTTTTTTACATTATAAATGTCTTTGTCACTTTTGATCAATTTATGCATTTATGCAATGCATCCTTGCTGTATAAAACTATTCATTTCTATAAAACAAAAAAATCTCCCTGACTCCAAACCTTTAAAGGTTATCACCAAAAGTAATGTGAATCTGTTCAGTGGTACATTTGCCTCCGAAGTAACACGTTTGAGTTGCTCTGGAATGCCTCTATTAATCAAACACACACACATACACAAGCTGGCACTAATGCACACAATAACTCACTGAAGCTCTATGAGAATACATTCCCTTTGCAGAACAGGTGGGCGGGACATTTGAGGTTTCCCTTTAACTTCACACCTATCAGGACAGTCGCTATGGCATCTGATCCCCCTCCCCCTGGCCAATCAGATGACAGCACAGCCGGCCCCACTCTTACATGAGTTGTGTGCTGACTGAGCAAGCGAGCAGGCCTTCAATAACCAGCTGAGAGGAAGTAGACTGAAAGGCAAAGCAGAGAAGAGAGAGAGACAAGTGGTGAGAAATTTAGCAAGAAAGAGAGAGGACAAGAAGGGACGGGGACTAAAGGCGGTATACCAAAGCTGCTTTCATTGTGTTCAAGTTATTTGAGGGGGGAAAGATGTGTGTGAGATGGTGATGGTGGTGGGGGGGAGTTAGAAGCCAGAAGTAGAGGGGGTTACAGAGTTTATATGCATGTGCCAAAAGGAGCCTGAGAGAGGTTTTGTGTGTGAGTTATTGAAAGGGGGAGGGGGGGTGAGTTCGGGAGGGTGGAAAGAGAGATTCACAGTTGGGCATACCAGAATAGCAGTGCACAGAGAGCATAAACAGCGAGATGTGTTTTTACAGACTGCTTGAACAAGAAACCTTGATTGGACTTACGTTTTGTATGTTTCTCTCTCTTTCTCACTCCTCTCAGGGGAGGAACAGAAAGAAAGGCCTGCACTCCCTAATTCAATGCAAGTAACCCTTCAACTCATCACAGTCTTGAAGCAACAACAAGCACGACTTAAGAGCTCCGACAGAGAGGACGGAGAAACAGACGAGGAGGAAAGGGCAGGAGTTCTTAGAGAGGTGAGTCAGGAGGCTAACATGAATTTTGTAGTGTGTTTATGGATGGTTGACATGAAATGTCTAGCAGTGACAGCAGTGTGACATGGCATACTTAAACTTTTAAAAGTTCATTTGTCACACACCAGGCTATTTAAATGAACTACAAACTAGCCACAATCGGTTTAAAATGGTGAAAAAACTGTTAAAACACCCCAATTATATGCTTTCTTTAATATAGAGCGAAAGTGTTAACCTAAATTTTTGATTTAAGTTTAAGACATTTTTTTTCAGTGACATCAGTGTCTTATTGTGTGACATGTACTTAATCTAAAACTATTTAAAACAATATTTTTCTGATTTGTGTATTATTGAATATATTTTTTAGTTTTAATATTTAGCTTTTATGCCTTTGTATAGTTGAGGTCACTTTTTGAATATTTGTAGTGTTATTTATAGCTTTTATATTTAGTTTGTATGCCCTTGTAATAATTGAGGTTACTTTTTGAAAATATGTAGTTTTATATAGTCATATGGTGTGATAAATGAACATTTTAAATGAAACTAGCTAAAGCTATTTATTAACTTGTTATTTAAAAAAAGTTAAAGCATCTAAATTGTATGCTTCCCTTTTATACATTCATGCATATTTTAACCTAAAATTGATATTTTAATCAAGTTTGTTTATGGATAGTGTGACATGTTATATTTCTAAAACTATACACTTGTATTATTTTTAACTCTTATATTCAGTTTTTGTGTCCTTATATCAATTGATAGACCACAAGGATCTTTGGTGCAAATTGTGAATATCATTAAAGAAACTGTGACTAATTTAAGCACCTACAAAAATTATGCTTAGAAATTCATGTGGATTTTAACCTCATATCTTCATTTATGAACATGGGTGGTTTGAAGTGGAAAAGGAAGTAGCTTCAAAGACAACAGCTGTTTTTTCTCTCTCTGTCATATGTCCTATCTGTCAATGCACAAATGAATCAATGACATCCTGACCCTTGCTGCATATAGAGATAATATTTCAGCCCTTGGTTTTACAAACTTGCAGGCTTTTAGTTGCGGAGAGATAAGCTTAGTCAGAGGTGAGCTTATGAGTGTTTGGTCTTTGTTCCTGCTGTAGTTTGTAATGCCGTTTTGTGACTTCCTCAGAAGTAAAAGCCAGGTGTTTTGCAAAAACCTCAAGGGCTGCACACATAATCACTGTAGGCTTAGGGGTAGAGGTCTACACTCACGCCCATGAGATGTTCTTTCTCGCTGACTCACTCTCTCTCACATGCATGGTGAAAATGAATTCATTGCCTTTATTGTTTGAGTAACAACACCTGTTGGGTATATGAGAATACTTTCATGTTTCCATTAAAGCCAAAGAACCAAGTGGCTTATACTCTCTTGTCAGGTAGAAGCTACATATGAGTTTTTGAGAAAGTAGAAAAAAGCAAACAAACAAAAAAGTTATATGTATAAAAGCTAAATCAGGTTCATAGGGAGAATGACTTGTTAATAAAGCTTGGGTTGTTTGGGCTCAGTGGTCAACCATGGAAACAATGTTTAACTGAAGCTCTAGAGTAATTTTTGATTGTTTGGCCATAAGGTTTCTCCTTGGTTTCTTTGAGTCCTTCAATCTTTTATCTATGTTATTGTGATCCTGAATTGAGAATGTGTAGAATTAAATATTTTTACTTCGTTCAGTACCAGCTACCACTTCATAATCATCGTAAACGGATGCACAGATGCAAGAATTCTAATAACTAAAGACGAGCACAGATGTCTTACATTGCAGTGTGATTATAAAAAATAAATGTGTTACTCATATCCCCTTAATTGTCTACTAATTCATCTTAAGGAGTTTTCCATGGCTTAGTTGCTCATTGGGTTATTAAGACACTATTTTATGTAAAGCTGCTTGGAAATTAGCTGTATTATTCACTATACAAATGAAACTGGCTGGACTAATTCTTGACTGACTTCTTTCTCCTAAATAACACCAGAAAAACACTATACAGCTTACAGCTGCCCATGCTAGTCTTGGATGTTTGGTTTCCCCATCTATTTTCTTCCGCTCCGTATTGAATTCTCTGGGGGTGGGGATGAACATTCTTGCTTTTTAAACTGAACTCTCCGTGTGTCCTTGATTTGTTAATTTCACCTAGACAACAATTCATTCCAATTCAATGGTAATAAAATATGTAGATTTGTAGATCGTGTGAAGCAACCATATGAATAGATTTTCAGGAATAGGACTAAGCTGATAATGAAATCATCCAGTCTCTGCACAGCAATAAATATTAATGACTGGTAAAATTAGTATGTTTCAGAAAAAAACAAACCATTTGATTGCACAGCTGAAAAGTGCATTACGTTTATGAAAGTGTGTAGTCATATCACTGACTTCATGTGCTTAGAATAAACATGCATTACATCTCTCATTCTACTCCCTGGGCAACATGTTGGCGTGTAACACCAACTGTGTGTGTGTGTGTGTGTGCGCATCTTGTCAGCTGTATTTGACCTGGGGTTCAGGGTTCTATTCATGCTGAGTCTGAAAGATTCACAGCAAAGCTCTGAGGGTCTTACATCATGTGTAACAGACCCCCACATGCTTGGCAAACTTCTTAACTTCCAGACTTCTTTTCCACACTTCTATATACACTTCACTTCAAAAATACAGTAAAAACACAGTAATACAGTAAAATATTATTACAATTTAAAATGACTGTTTTCTATTTTAACATATTTTATTCCTATGATGGCAAAGCTGAATTTTTTGCAGCCATTACTGCAGTGTTCAGTGTCACATGATCCTTCAGAAATCATTCTAATATGCTGATTTGGTGCTTTCTTATTATTATCAATGTTGAAAACCGTTGTGCTGTTTCTTATTTTTGTGTAAACCATGATAAATTTTTTTCCGGATTCTTTGATGAATAGAAAGTTTAAAAGAACAGCATTTATTTGAAATCTATTTTACTGTCAATTTTTATCTTTAATGCATCCTTGCTGAATAAAAGTATTAATTTATTTAAAACATAAAAATAGCTGACCCCAAATTTTTGAACGGTATAGTGTGTAGAAATGGATTGTCTGGTTTTGTATCAGGCGCTGGAATGTTGTTGTGTTTTTAGGTCTCCTCCGTACGTCCGGAGTCCGTTATTTCAGATCGTATGTCAGTGTGAGGTCTTCTCCGTTAGCTTTTGTCATAGCAATGCCTAAAAATACTGGCAACCTCAAGTCTTCTGTGTACTTTTAAGTCTTGATGGTGGAGTTTATATTGTGTGACGTCACAAAAACAGTAATGTGGCACAACACACTCTCATTCAGTGTCCATTTCTGTCTGTGTATCTCTTTCCATCTCTTTGTGGTTTGATTCAATTGGCCGCATAGGACCATATTTTGCCAGTGAACTCAAAGACGGAAGAAACTGGAAGAAAAAAATCTGTAGAAATCTGTGGGTTCTAGTAATTTTCTGCAAGGACAAAACTGTTAAGTTTACACACATTTCCTTTAATCTTAAAACACAATACAATGCAATGCATAATTGAAAATATGGAAGAAAAAAAACACCTGTGAAAAATCAATACAGAAAAGTCCTTTATATTAACACAGAGCATTGTGCCCTATTTTACAGACTTTTCTTAGAGTATAAGCTCCTCCCTTGAGAGGCCACTGAATACTTCATTCAAGCAGTGTAATGCAAATGCAGCTCTTAGAAAGGCCTGATCCTCAACATTCTGTCTTTTCATATTTTGTGCATTTATAGTCGTCAGACTGGCATACTTGACCTTCATTAGACTGTGCTCACTGCATCGCAAGATGTGACACATACACTACTGTTCAAAACTTTGAGGTCAGTAAGATTTCTTTAAAGAAATTAATACTTTTATTAGTAGGAGTTAATTAAATGGATCAAAAGTGACAGTAACAACATTTATTGTTTTGAAAAAGATTTATAGTTTTGAATTAAATGCTGTTCTTTTGAACTTTCAATTAATCAAAGAATCCTGGAAAAATTGTATCATGGGTTTCCACAAAAATATTAAGCAGCACAACTGTTTTTTTTTAAATTGTAATAATACTACACAC